GGATACTTCGAGGAAAAAAAAAATAGATATGGGAGATAAAATGAATTGAAATTTTATATTTTAAATCAAATCAAATCTAACCAGCTCTTATATCTAATATCTGAGATAGTATGTTACTTACTTCCCTTTCCGTCTTTTAGTTTTTCTTTTGTCTACGAGAGTAAAAGCTTTCAGCTTTCCATCATGTAGACGATATTTAATTAATTTGAAGCCAAAAAAAAATTAAAAGTCATTTTCACTCGCAGCTTTTATCTGTTGTATATATTAGGATGATATGAATTTTTGTGTAAATATCACTTTCAGTGTATTCAACGTCTAATAAGGGCTCTATTCAGTTCGCAAAGTTAGGGCTTATCAATTCTCCTTGTAAAGTTTATTAAACTACTTCCTTATCATCACCCTTTGTAACTAAACCTTTCTTAATTTGTCTCTCAAATCTCATTTTAAATTAATGCGTTAACTTGCTCAAGTTGTAATTAATAATGAACAAGCAAAGGCCAACAATATCTCTTCCTGCTTATCACATTGGAATATTTCAAGCATATCTTGTGGCTGCTCTCTTGGATAAGCATAGCTTCAACAAGAACGGCAAGAATATAATATATATATATATATATATATATATATATTATTGATCACTACAAAGCCAAGCATTTTCCATTTATATATGCTAGAATGAGCATTACAAGCTCTTATCTGTTAAGTAACGTAATTGAGAGATGTTTACCTTACACATCCATTGGCTGAAATTAATATTTGTTTCCATTGAAAGGACACTCCTCTCTGAATAATTTGATTGATTTGTTGGGATGATCAATGGCTACACAATAATTATGAGAAAAATTAGTCTATAAATTCGTATTGTTTTATGTAATTTTTCATTGAGGCAGATTCTTGTAGCATTTTTCTTTTTATCAGGTATGGATAGTTTCGCTTAATTTTTAACCAGGTCTTTATAGTTTTTTTTTATCAAGTCCTAATCATAGTTTCACTTGATTTTTAATAAAAATAAAGAAACACTACAGAGACTTGATCAGAAATGAGCTGAAACTATAGGGAGCTGATAAAAGAAATAAAATTACAAAAAAACTGATTAAAAATAACGTGAAACTACGCAGAAGAACTTGCAAATCAATTTTTCCTAGATGAGACTTAATTTAGAAATTTCTTTTTCCTTTTAAACTACCTTTAATTTTCTTTTTAACAAAAGAGGGGCATTTTGATCTCTTAACAAATAAATTCCCAATTAGGCCTTTTGGCCTAATTAAGAAATTGTTAAAAATACAGGCCTAATTTTGGTTTTGACTTTTGATCATTTCAACTGAATTTAGTTGGGATTCTTCCTTTAAAATATAAGCAATTTGATTAACGTCAAACAATAATATATTAAACAATGTAAGAACTAAATAACCAAATACAATAAATAATTATTTGTGTATTGAAAAACGAGGGTGAAAGAAAGAAACCAAGAAAAATTAAAATATCAATTTATATAGTGCCCATCAATTTACTAATGAAAACCATTGTCTGTGTTACGTCAGAAGAATTGATGTATTAGATTTAAAATTCTGGAGTGAAGCGAATTCATCTGTCTATATATATCTCATTCCACACCAATCTTTCTTTATCTTGAATTTCCTCATTTATTTGTCTCATTGTTTGTAACTTTTCTTGTATCCACGATGATGAACTCAGCCAATAAAAGCAAAATCTTTCCAACTTGGCTATGAGGAGACGTGATTGATATTTGTGGCATAAAGTTAATGCCAAAGTCATTATCATAATAAGCTTTCAATTTTTGATAGTTGTCCAAGTTTGCAATTAATGGTGCTTCTTTTCAATTTCACTCACCACTGAAATTCTCCTTCTTAATTTGTAGATTGAAAAGAAAAAAATCATGCTAAGAGAATTATTACCTTTATTTGAATTTACCCAACAATCACTACAAAAAAAATTGACTTTCAGTGGAGACAAAAAGTCGCTGCTCAAAGTTTTCAGGGGCGACATGTCGCCGCTGAAAAGTTATTGCCGTAGCCACCGTGGCTGAAAACTTTTAGCGGCAACAAAAAAGGTCACTGCTCAAAGACACTTTCAGCGGCAACTTTTTTGTTGCTACTAAAAGTGATGCCCAAAAAAAATTGGCTTTACTGACGCCATGTCATCATCGTCGGTAGCCATGTCATCACTGGCCACCTCCACTTCATCATTGTCGAGCGCCACGTCATCACTAGCCACCTCCATGTCATTGCCAGCCGCCTCCATGTCATTGCCAAATCACCACTCTCTTGTCACATCACTTCTCCCCACCACGTCACCGCCCAAATATTTTTACTTCTCCTTAAAGGTTCAAACTTGTAACCACCTCCTTTCGTGTCCAATCTTCTTGTCGTTGAGCTAGATTGAATTTGTTTATTATTATTGTAAAATAAAATATATATATTATTATATTATATTTTCAGCAATAATATTAGAAAGTTACCACTGAAAGTTAGACCTTCAGCGGCGACATTAGAAAGTCACCACTAAAAGTCAAACCTTTAGTGGCGACACTAATAGTCACTGCCGAAAGTCTACTTTCAGCGGTGACCATAAAATGTTGCCGCTAAAAGTCTACTTTCAGTCATGACATTACCTTTGAAGGTCTTATATTCAGCGGCGACACAAAGTCACTGCTCGGTGACTTTTTTTGTCGCCATTGAAAATTGTCACCTAAAGTTTTTTTTTTTTGTAGTGAATAATTTAACCTAGCACTGTGAGATGTGTGTATAAAGGGAAAATACTATTTATTTTCACACGATATATTTATACACTATAAGGCTATGAGAATGTGGGTGAATGTATTGGTGGGCTAAAAGATTCTGAAATTACACTACAACACTAAAGAATCAAAGAACAATGATGTTTTGAGGAGAAACGACCATAATTTCCCTCCTTCATTTTGATTACAAGTGTACATATACATTTTAATAACTAATAATAGTAAAATAATAAATGTCTGTGCAAAAATTTACAAATCCTAATTTATATTACCACTACTGATATATAAATTTATAAGTTTCCTAGATAAAGTTACAAGTTCACATGAACATTTTAACAACTAATAATAATAGCAAAATAAAAAGTATCCATATGAAAAAAAGGACATTTTGATAACTTGCCATTAAAGCATAATTTTACTTTGGTCCTTTAATACTGCATTTTAATTTCACAATTTTTTGGTCTCTATTTAAAATAGAGTCACTTTAGTGGGGTTAACACAAATTCTTCCCATGCTTATCACAATCCATCTCTATTCAGATGCATAAGTTGAAAAATATCCGAATTTGTAGCAGATACCCTTTTTTTGGGAATGAAAAAGCAGCAAGATAATGTTTACCCAATATTATAATGAGTGGTAGGTTGTACTAATTTAAACTCGTTAAGTGGTGGGGTACAAGAAGTTACTTTAATAATTGTAGTGTGGTCCACATGAATTTAAGTTAATCTTGTAGTTTATTACACATTTGAAAAGATACAAGCAAAGTGATAAGATCTTCTTATTGAACGAGACGTGTCATTATATTAGAATTAGCTTATGAGACAAAGTTGGTGAAGACTTTATATTTTAAAAAGACAGCTGATAAATTGCTTCACAGCTGTTTTCTTTGAAAATACTATAAGCAATTTGATGTATTGATAAGATCAGTAGCCATAAATTTCGTTTCCCAAGTCCCTATCACAAGCTTGTTTTCCAATTTATAATGCTCAGATATGAAATATTATAAAACAAATACTACTTGACAGTGATCTTAGAATTTTAAAATTGAAACATGTTAGGATATGAACCTTTCGTAACAAGTTGATTCGTGACCTCAGCCTATAATTTTATTTAGTTAATTAATTTTTTTACCTTATTTAGTTAACTAGTTGCTTGTTTGAATTTTGAATGGACTTATCAATTTCTTTGAAGAGTGATGAATCCTTTTTTTTTTTTGGGAATAATTATGATATTCTTCAAGTTAAACATTATTTAAAAAATGACTTTCAACAATTCTTTTTAGCAGAAACTTTTTCAATTATCACTTGGCAAACTCATATTATATATATTCATAACAATTTTGAGGATTTTAATGCATTTTTGTGGCTAAATCATGGTTATTATTCTTGAATGTGTGTATAGGGCATTTTGAGAAAAATGTGCTTAAATGATTAAAATATTTGTACGAATTTCTTGAATGGATTTTAATTATCGTTGATGTCCTATTATTTGATGAAAATATTAGCTTCAGATTTTTTATTTTTGGTTAAATTGCATCTGACATCCCTAAGTATTTTTTCATATGCGTCTAGCACTCTAAAAAATTTTTGTGTGCATCCAGCACTAAGGGAAAAAAAAAAACTTTACAGTGCTAGACATATTTAAAAAATATTTTAGAATGCTAGATGCATCACAACAACAAGAAAATACTTCAAGATACTGAATACACCTTAACCATTTATTTTGTGTGGGAATTTTTCTGGAGAGAAAATGCATTGTAAGCTAAAACAAATAATGACAAACAAAAAAGACTTAAATGATTGGCATTTAAGGATACAAATTGAAGTAATCACTGAGAAAAACGAAATACAAAACACACCGTTTAATGCGTCAGATTTTGGCGCCACTGCTCAGAAAACCAAAAGCTATCACTGTTTTCCAGTTATATATAAATATATATATTTATATGTGATCCTTGTAATATGGTTAGTTATGAGTTTTTATTAAAAAATATATTATCCTATTTTGTTTAAAATGACTATTAATTAACAATATTTTATATGACTCTTTCCACATATAAGATTGTGTTGATGATTTCATTATAATTTATCTTTTCATGGAATCATTTCATATTCCAATTATAATTTTCAAATACCAACTTCATTAGCCTACTACTCATCCACCTTATTAGTTATCAGGTTATATAATTAATAAATTAGAATAGCTCTGCAGAAACATTCTACATATGTATACTACGTACTTGTCCACATCCAATTCATCACTGTAAATTATTTCATTTATATTTATATTACATGGAAATCCAGCAAAACACGACGATTCCAAAATATAAATTAAATTACAATAAACCGCTGCATTTTGTATAACTTGACATTTTGCTCCACACAGAGAAATGGAGAAAAATCATCATTCCTCCTGTTTCACAGCAAGTAATAAGACACACGCTTCCTCTAATACAAACTACTATAACACAACGTACAACTAATTTTACAATAATAATAATAATAATAATAATAAAGTTAAATATTGGCTTATAAGATCCAAAATCCCTAAACCCTAAGCTCTGGGGTGATGTCTTCTTCACTCCTTTCTTCAAATATGACAGGCCTATACCACTTAGCACAAGCAATGTAAGCTGCAAAATCTATGGCGGTCAATGCTGCTAAAAGGTAATAAAACCTGTCCAAGTGTCCCTTGTTAAGATTTGATGGGATCCATCCTAAGCTCTCACCTCTCTGAGAAATCTTCATAACAATGGCAACAATTAAACTACTAACATAATTTCCTAGTGACATTGAAGTCATACAAAGTGCACTTCCAAAGCTCTTTAATCCATCAGGTGCTTGCCCGTTGAAGAACTCTAATTGACCAACATACATAAATACCTCTGAAGCTCCTATAAGTACATATTGTGGTGTCTGCCAAAAGATGCTCAGTGAACTTGATTCTTCATCTGTAGCATTTTTTAACCTAAAATGTTCTACCACTCCTGCTGAAACCATGGCCATCATTGCTATGATGAGTCCTATTCCCATCCTTTGCAGCTCAGTGAGTCCTTTGTTCTTGTTTCTTCGGGCGACCAGAGGGTTAAGAACTCGCCGATAAATGAAGATGAAGGCGGCGACACTGAGGATGTCGAAGCATGACATGCTTGCCGGGGGAATTTTGAAAGATGATGAAATTCTAGTGTCCATTGCTGCACCTTGTTCTACAAAGATTGATGCCATTTGAGTGAAAACAACCGAGTAGATTATAGTGCATAGCCAAATTGGGAGTAGTCTTAGAATGCATTTCACTTCTTCTACTTGGGTCACTGTGCAAAGATGCCATGGATTGAAGTTATTTTCTTCCTTCTCGCTCAAGTGATCCTCAGGTGTTTTAAATGCTGCTTTATCCAAGAATCTGATAACATAAATAAACGCATAATTTTAGTAACTTTTCTGAACATCAACAATTGATGGAGTATTAAATTCCAGAAAGAACAACATCTGTACATAAATAAATGTAATTCTAGCAAGAATCTGATCATATAAACTGTTGACTAGTTAAATTGATGAAATCAGTGTCATACCTAAATCCTTCAGTGTGGAGTATCTTTCTCCCTCCCCTGGAATATTCTTCAACTTCAAAAAGCTTGTCCTCATCAGACCCCACGTTGACTTTCCATTTTCTCGTTGCAGCTACAAAAACTTGGCAAAATCTAGGAAAAGGATTGCCACCTGGTTTAAAGTACCTGTACCTCGTAGTTCCACAAAGGAACAAGATCAAGGCAAGAGTAGCAGATCCTGCCGAAGCCCAAAACCCTAGAGTCCACAAAGCCTCATTCTCATAATAACCCAACACTGTGTTGGAGAAGAGAGATCCAAGGTTGAGAGCCAAATAGAAATAGCTGAAGAATGCTATCTTTGAGCGTCCTTCTTTTGGGTCTCCTTCATCAAACTGATCCGCGCCAAATGTAGCAATGTTGGGTTGGTATCCTCCATATCCTAGAGCTACAAGGTATACTGAGAGGTAGAACAACGCTTCATGGAGAGACGAATGGGATCCACAACTGAGTTTTTCGTCTCCACAGCCACTAGGACTTAGTAAAAACTTGTACGATGTGAGAGATAACAGGCCAAGACCCTGTCACAAGCAAAATTTGTAAGTAGACAAATAAAGATATCCGAAGTAAGAAAATTAATATGATAATACGATGATTATATTCAAGCATGCTTTGAATGTCACTACATCATGTCCTTACATAAGAACTAGTTAGAATGTTGGATTTGGTTCTAAATATAAAACCTTAATCTACTTTGTCTCTCAAATTTATAAATTTTTTCTCTCCAAAACATCCACATTGATTTTATATGCTAAGGGTTCCCACCAATAATTAATTCCAATGCACATAATTAAATAGAATAGTTTAGAAACTTCACCGATGAGGAGTTCAAGTGTTCTATGCCCCCCCCCAAATTTCTCTCCCTTTCTCTTAGCCTTTTTATGGTCTAACCAACACATATTTATTATAAATATCTAATTTAACTAATTTTATTAATGTTCATAGATTAGTTATTTAGCAGTTATATTAAGAATAAAAAGCAGTATTGTTTTCTTATGTTGTGGCAACTACAATTCTCACACACATACGTATCTGCATGATTTAACTATACAAGTACACAAAGATATAAGAAGAGTTAAATACACACACACACTCACACACTCGCTTCAAACTTACAAGAACAAGGATGGCTTGGAAGATAGCACAAGTCCTATACCTTCCCCAGTAGGAGTCACTAAGGAAGGCTCCGACAAGGGAACACATATAGACAGTTCCAGTCCACTTGCTCACGTTGTTGGCTGCGTTTGCGTTGTCTTGTCCCATAACCCTCGTCAGAAACAGCACCAGATTCACTGCCACTCCAAAAAATGCCAAAGTTGCCAACCCTTGATTCACTGCATCATATATTCAAACTTAATTAGATGTATAAACACTATATGAATATTACATTATTCCATTTTCTGAATACTATGATTCGATATTGATTCCATTTGTTCGAATAATGAGGAGACAAATACTTCAGCCTTTATAATTACCACGTATTTCGTTGGTAATATTATATATGCATGTGTATCTATATATATTAGTATAATTTTTAAGTTTATAATTTTAAAATCTTGTACAAATCTTCTAAACAGTATAAAATTTCTTAATATAATGTCTCAAGTCATATGAATCATCCAGACACATATATTGGGCTCTGTGCCTCTATTATTATTATTGCTGTTGCTGCTAGACTTTTTTCTTGTTAAATTTGACTTGAGTTTTTTCACCTTAAACAATGTTCAAATCAGTATATCCTTGGTTGAAAGAAAAGCTCTATCAAATTATTATTTATACATACCGTGCATTGCTTGGAAAAATATCAAGTCTTTCTAATTTTACAAGAAGCAATAACTAGAATAGAAACAATTTTTAAACTTTAAGCCACATGATTACAAAATTTTAAATTATAAGGTTCAATTTAAAAATTAAGTGAAATTATTGTGGACCGAAAAAGAATACTTTTGTCTATGATTCACTTAAAATAATATGATAGATTACAGAAAGTGGGTTAGGTAGATGAGGTTGACTAAAGAACCTAGCTGCTACTTAGGTAACACCATAGCAACATTTGCAATACATCAACATATAGTTTATACACACACACAACTTTATCATAATGCTAATAATGATGTATAATCTCTTTCTTTCTTTTCTGCCATATGATCTATTATTTTGATCCTAAATATAAAATCCACTTTATAGTACACATTAGTTCATTACAAAGTGAGTCTTATAAAATATTTCATTCTAATTCCTCTGAGAATATATTCATAAATTGTTTTGAATATCGTCGTCTGTCGGTGTGCTACGTCACAGTCACTGTATTAAAGACGCGAGCTGTCAGTATGAGATGACATAACAAAATAATGGTAACAGCCTAAAATAAAGAATATGTTAAAAAAATAGTTAAAACAGAGAATAAGAATCTTTACTACAGGATTTGATATAATCATACAAAATCTCCTGACATACCACTAAATCCAAATCGACTTTATTGTATTAGTCCTTGTGATTCTAATAGTGAAAAAAGTAGAAGCTAGTTGATAAATTTACTTATAATACATTAATGTACTTTATTTTTTATATTTATTATTTTTTAAAAATTATTTCAATAATAGCAGTTTCCAATATAATGAGGAAATATTTTAGAAAAATTAACATACAAATTTTTATAAATATCTAATTGACTACTTTCTTGGTTATATGTAAATTAATTATTTAATTTTTATATTTACAACAAAAAATACTATTCAATAAATTTGGAAGTAATTAAATTACCTAGGATTAAACTTCCGGACACCCAAGTTCCGGATCTTGCTCGAACAGCAGGACGGCCATGCCAATCAGTGGATCCATCGATGGTGAAATCCTCAACGTCCTTCGTCATCCTTTCCTCCATAACAGTGCCAGTACCCTGAAATAAATAAATATAACAACTTAAATTTGGATACTAATTTGAATATAAATTATTCATATATATATATATATAGGGTTAAGATACATATTTATTTCAGAAATTTTCATTCAGAAGTACTGGATATCTGAAAGTTTTTTTTGGATCAAATTTACTCTGAAAGTTTAAAATCGTAATAATATTATCCACTATCATTAAAATGACAACAGTTAATATCATTATTTGAGCAACGAATGTTAACTTTTAATGGCAGAAAATAATATTGTTATAATTTTAAATTTTAGGATAAATTTATTTTCAAAAAAAAAAATTCGGATATCTTGCGCCGCAGCAAATACTTAGGGTGCGCCGTAAACTTCTGTTCAAATCTATAATATACTATACGTCCCAACGTGTGTCATGCACATCTGTACGAACAGATGTGACGCAGAAGAAGTATCGTCCACTGCCATAACACCGTAAAGATTCTGCTTTTAGTATACTTCCATTTATAGCACCGTCGATCAATAGGGTTTGTTTGCTTTCTTACTTTTAGAAAATATACTAACTCCGTTCTTAATTATAAGAATATAATCAGTTAACTAATTTAAAAAGATTAAAAAATAAATTAAATTAGTTATTTGCAATAAATAGATATTTTTTAAAAAATATTTTACTAATCAAGTACATTCGCTAGAACTATAATTATTTGAAGGATTATCTTTAAAAAATACATAAATATAAAAGACGAAATGGATTGGGATCTTATATTTAGAATTAAAATAAAAATCAAATAAAGTCTTATATTAAGAAATAAAAGTAATAGTTTTCAGTCTTTAAAAAAAAAATAGTTTCTGCATGGAAAAAGATATTACATTCTATATATGGTTATTAATAAAGCTGGAGTCCACGTCAAGCAAAAAACAGCTTTTGGGTAGAAAAAAAAGTTGGAGTTCCTTAATAATCACATCAAGCAAAAGCAAAGAATATTACGCGTCTTAGTTGTTTGTGGCGTGAAGCCAGTTAGAAAGCTGAGGAAACGAAGAAGGGGTAGGTTAATTTACTAAAGAAACACAACAAGAAAGTGGAAAAAGCTTTTAATTTGTTGATTCGTAGAAGCATAGTATATTATTAGCGATGTTTGGAAATCTAATAAACAGTGACTTGCAAAAATGTTCAAGTGGTCAAATAGTCCACCTATATATCATTTTAATCAGGTAATTAATAAGCTCAGCTATTATTGAAAGTGCAAATCATTAGTGTGTAGAGAGAGAGAGAGGTCTTGATTACAAATAATAAATAGTACAATCATTTATAATTTAATTCATCACCATTACAAGCAGGGCTTTGAAGGTACTATTCACCATTACAAGCCTCCTGACAATTGAGCTTGAGAATCACAGACAGCGGCTTGGTTAAGAGAATCCACTGGACAAGAGCCATGCATATTCCATGAACATATAAACAATATATATACATATATACACATTATACAATATACATATATACAAATTATTCGTGCTTGACAAAATAAATAAATAATAACTAACCTGTTTGCATAAACTCAAGCAACCCATTATGAATTAACTTGGGATCTTGCTAGCTTGTGAAGAGAATATAGGTCAAGAAGAAGATTGCTGAAGTGATCACACAAGAGCAAACTATGTGAAAAGGAAGAAGAAGAAGAAACTAACAACTAGTCTTGATGAAGAATGGGAGAGTATGGAGGGCTATATATAGAGGTTTGGAGAAGATTAATTGGACGGCTAAGATTTACACGTGGAATAATTAAGATATTGCAAGTCATAGTCACAGTGTCGTTTCATGTAGGGGGCATACTGACAAGGACTATGCTATATCTGGATCTGAAGCGTGTGTGCGTGTGCGCGCGCGCGCGTGAGTAAGCTCAAAAAGTTTTGGCCAAAAAAAAGAAAAAAGAGTAAGCTCAAAAAGAGACGTGTGACAGTTGGACACTTTTTTTTTTTTTTTTTTTTTTAATTTTTTAATTTTTATTTTTAGTAATGAAATATTAAACAGTTGGACACATTTTTCCAAATCTCTTACGCAGTGACATCACGCACCATTAAAAATTTGGCTGGATGTACTTGATATCGACGTGTTTCGATAAAATGCACATAAGATTAATATTGACTGTTCGGTAACAGCAAATAGAAATTGTCGGTAATTTATAATTTATAATTTTATTTTTCTGCTTTTAAATATAAAATCTATTTTATAATATAAATTATATTATAAAATAAGTTTTATATTCAGGATATGAGAAATATTAATTAGTTAAATCACAGTAGAAAGAATATGTGATATTATGTTATGGGCAAAACTGTTTATGCCAGTATTATTACATAGCGTGATTTACTTTAATTATTTCATTTTTTACGTCTCACATTTAATCTCTTTTGCTCCTTTTTTTTTTGGGTTCTGCCATCCAGATTTCACAAAAAGTAGTGCTGGTTTCATGGACGCATTGCATGCCCCATTATCCAGATTTTGCTTCTGCACTATTCGTGACCCATAAATATAATATTGTTTGGATTGATTTTTTTGGCTAACAATTCGTCTAATAGCCTGATCTTATTTTTCAGGTGTATCCAATATTTTAAATTTTTACATGATGCACGTAACAGTCTGATCTTATTTTTCTGAAACATTAAGCATCTCAAGGTTATTTTTTCAGTTACATCAAGTTGCCTAATATTTAAGGTGTTGGATACATATAAAATAAGATTAATATGCTGGATGCTAAAAAAAAGAAAAAAAGAAAAGGTTGCTAAATGCACCTTTACTCTTTTTTTTTTTAATGATATATGAACACACACACACACATATATATATATGGGTGTGCTTAAATTAAATAAACTAACCCTAACACCACAATTGTCAAGATTATCTCAACAATTTCGTAAGAGTTATTCAATTTCTTAGCTGGTTTGTTTTCGTATTTAATGACAAATAATGCTCGTAATATTATAATAGAATACATATGTGTACATATCATTTTACGTTCCGTTATCAACTTTGGTGTCTGGGAAGCAAAAGATAACTTAAACAAGTGACCTAAGTGATTCATATAATCAGGTATTTAAATTCTAAAAATTATTTACACACAGAGACTTTAATAATTAAGATGAGTTGAATTCCATGTGAAAAAAAGAGTTCGATTTTTAAAGTTATAGAAGTGTTGAAATAGTAGTACTTCGTTGTGAACTTTTATTTCGTCAATATTTTTACTTAAAAACAAAACTTCTATTTCAATATCTTACCCTAAACTCTGGGAAATTTAATGCCCCAAAACAAGGCTTGTGTCTTTGAAATACATAATTCATGGAAAGAAGAAAACTAAGAAGAAGAAAAGGGAACAATTGGTATGAAGGGAATTATTTTATTAAGGAAGAATGAAATATCATTCCAAATTAAGTAAAGGAATTGTAAAATCAGCCAAAAAAAACATACAAAATAAGCAACACTTCGTATATATATTTTGAAAATCCTTCTTGATGCAAAATATGTTTTACATTTGGTCCCAAAAAGAAATTCTCCCAAAAATAAAAAGATATAAAAGCGAAATTGCATTTAACAACGCATACTTAAATAATTCTAAGTGCAACTTTAATTATCTTGATGGAATATTATTTAGTGTCATTGTGCTCTATCAATAACAAAATCTCATTTATTATTGTACCCAAGCCACATGAAGTGTTGTTTCCAAGCGGTGATTGAGCGCTCCCTAGGAACATTTTTTCATTGATCCATATTCATAAGAAATTCAACACAGTTTTAGGGTCTAACACAAGCCTCCTATGCCTTAATGAAATGATATTGTCAATTATTCAAGTAGGATATATAGTGTTTCCATCTATTTTTTATTTTTTATTTCATTTTTTGTATCAAAATGAAAATAAATACTTTCCATTTTAAAATTTAAAAAATTAGCATAAAGGTTTAACATTTATAATTTTTAATCAACCCAATTAAAAAGAAAATTGAATTGCAATGATATGAAATATTTAATCTTAAATGATGATTAAATTTTTCATATTAAAAGTAAATATAGCTATTCATTTTTTAAACCTTAATTAATATATAATTTGTTTATCATAATTCTTTTTTTGCGGGGTATTTTTAAATGATCATGGATTACACGTGCCTTTCATCAAGTTGCGTGTGACCCAAATGAGCTGGATCGCAGTCCCTAAAGTTAGCTACATCCACACGTAAGTGAGAGACAGCCGTGACTATAAAACTAAAATCCAAAGTTTATTATATTTTAAAATAGAATTAATGTAATTTAAAATTTTCTTTAATCTATTTGAAACATCTTAAGAATATTTTATAAACAGGATCAGAGAAGTAATTTTTATGCATATTTTTTATCGCTCCATATAATTAAATAGCATGATTTTAAAATGTGAGTAGTTAGTACCAATTAAATAACATGAGTTATATCTTAACAACTATGCATCATAATTTTATGTCGATATAAAAAAAAAATTCAAAGATTTTAAAATATGGAGGCAATGGAAATATCCTATGACTTTCCTTCTCTTTTGGCCATGTAGCTTTTCTTTTGTCCACAAGGAAATGATTCTTGAGCTGCGTTTTAAGGAGACGTGATTTGATTTAAAGTTAATAAAGCTAATTAATTAAATTAAAGTCATTTTCACTCACAGCTTTCAACTTTATTAGGATTATGAATTATCATGTCATATGGTCTTATCACTACTGAGCTTTCTCTTTGTATAGTTTATGTATTAAACTCCTCATAATCACTTTTATTGTATAACTAAACTTTCTAAATTTTTCTTTTAATTAAAGCTCAGGTTAAATTAATGTGATTACTTGTTCAAGCTGTTTGCTAAATACAGTTATAAATAAGAATTAATAAGCAGAAACCAACATTTCTTTCTGCTTATCACTTTACTGAGATTTCTGACTCAGCATTGGGCATTATATTATATCAGTTCAAAATTCAAACACTAACTTTGGCGGCTTCTCTCTCTTGGATAAACAAACGTGGAACTATAACAGACAAATAGATATTACAAGGTATAGATTAACCATTTAAATTCTTTAATTTATCTTTATTTGAATTGATACAATATATAGTGTCAAGTGCCAACATTTGGGAAAAGTATTGGTTTGAAAAATACTCTTTGTGCTTACTATAGGACTTAATTGAAAAGTTAATTTTGATACTAAATACAAGATTTATTTTATACATTTATCAATTTTTTTTACCCTATTATATAATGATAACCAAATAGGAAAGATTGAGAGATGGAGGGAATCAAGAAAGATGATTATGGTGTTTTAAAAAAATAAATTATTTATATTATAATTAACGAATTTACCTAACTTCTTTAATTTAATCAAATTAGTTAAATAAGTCTTACATTGAGAACAAAAGAAGTGGAAATTTTAGCAAAATTTTATGATGCAAATGTATTTTGCTCCAAAAAAAAAAAAAAAGAATAGAAAACACACACACACATATTTTTTCCCTATTCACGTACATTTTGATAGAATTTTTGGGGGAAAAACTTCTGCTGGAAAGAAAACTTATTCTCAATAATTCCGCGTACAGTGTAAAAGAATTTTCAAATATTAAAATATATGCTTAACACACTAACTTATATTAATTAATTGTTTAGTGGCAGAAGGAAGGCAGACTAATTAGAAAATAAAGTTTGGAATTAAGGAAAAGGCGTAAAGCTTTGAAACTCTGGGGCATGAAGCGTGTTTAAGCGATAAATAGGCAGTAAAATATCTAACATTTGAAATTATCCCCAAAACGATTTTTTGTTGTTGTTGTTGTTTTTCATACAAACTTAATATGACGATTTCATGATTAAATAACAGTTGTTCTTTTTAGTAGAATATACCATTTTGTTCTTATCAAGAAATGCATTAAATTGATAAAATTTTTCACATTTGCCCAGTTTATTAAAGAGAATGGGTATTTGGAAAAAAAATACGATGTACATTTTCTCTCACTTATTTCCTTTAATTAGCGCATTCAATAAGGATAAAATTGAAAAAAAAAAATCATTGATTACCTTACAAATGATTTATATTTATGAATAAACTTTTTTACTACAAGTGAGTGACATATAGAATGAGGGTTGTTATCAATGTTAGCTGGTTTCTAAATCTTTAATATTTAATAAGTAAATAAACATTTTTGCTGATTAATTTGTAAACATTATGTATGACATCAATGTAAATTATGAAGCTTCTCCAGATCTGTGCAAGCAGAGAAGGTTAGATGTTCAATGAAATAAAATCCCTTGACAAATTTTTTGTTTTGGCCAAAATTTTACCATGTCACTTTTCGAATGTAAAGGAAACTTTAAAATTTTTGAAAATTAAGGTTATATATGTAAAATAGTGCATTCAGTATTTTAAGCAGCAGTGCGCAATTGTAAGCTGTACGCAGTGTTGACAATATTTTAAAATGGTTAGGTGTACCTTTTAACTGTTGTTTATTTTATTCCCATCGTACATGTAATGCTTGAACAGAGGACCCTTAAAAATTGTTGGCTATAGATTTAGGCAATCGTTCACAGGGAGAATAATAGAAAAATATCTTTAAAATCTGTTCATCTTAAATTAATTAGGACATTAAAATGGCTTACTTACTCCCCATGTTTGGTAAGAGCAAAAT